TGAGGCTGACGTATCCTACCTAAAGCTTAGTTATGTATTTGTAGGTTTTTCTGAGTATGTGGGTTTGGGTTGGAAAGGGGTTTGTGTGATAGTGGAGTTTGAGAGCTGTGGGTCCTGAGAAGCTGAACTGGGAGGAATGGGCAGGGATCTGCAGAGGTCCCAGCTTTCAGGTTCTTGGCCAGTGTTGAAGGAGGTGGGCTGCATAGAAGCCTAGGTCTGATTGATCTCTGTTACGTGTTACATAATTCAGGCCTGATCAGTATAGTTAGGGCTTGATTAGTGTTGAGCAGGAAAGAGACTGATGTGCCTGATTTTCTAATGGGGAGACTGGTGTGGGAGTTATTGGCTTGTTGGTTTTTAGTGGTATTACTCTTAACACCAGGACCCTGCCCCAGAGAGTGAACCTGTAACATTCTGAGAGTCCCATTGTAACATTTTATCTCCTACTTTGAGAAGTCTCAGCTGGGTATCCTAAGGGTCTTTCATTTGTAAGGAATTCTTTTTGTTATCGAAGAGGGAAGACAACAATGAAGAGGAGAAAGGTAGCCAATTGGAAGATGGTTTGTAGGTGGGCAGAACACTGAACAATCACCCGGATAAGTTTCAAGTAGAGAGAGTAGTGAATTCTCTATTGATAAGCTGTCTTTCTTTTTTTTTTTTTTTTACTTGTTAATTTGTGGTACTGAGAATGAACCCAGTGCCCCACACATGCCAGGCAAGTGCGCTACCCCTGAGCCCCAGCCCCAGCCACTTATTTGTTTGCAAATAAATACTTAAAAAAATAAATATTTAATTTTGAGTTGTAGATGGACACTATACCTTTATTTACGTGGTGCTGAGGATCGAATCTAGTGCCCCCAGGCATGAGCTCTACCTCTGAGTCACAATCTCAGCCTTTATTTTTAATACATATATATTTTATATTTATTTTAATGTGCTGAGAATTGAACCCAGTGACTCACATACCAGGCAAGCACTCTACCACTGAGCCACAACCCCAGCCCTGACAGGCTGTCATCATTAATCTTTTATTGTCACTCATGGAAGCTAATAGAAATGGAGTTTTTTCTTGAGCAAGCTGGGGGAGATTGTTTGGGGAGCAAGGAGCAGCCACTGCCATGTGCCATCTAGGCTTTCTCAATAGAATAGACAGGAAATATCCCAAGCCCTGTCTACTGGCCCAGTTAGAATTGGCCAAGAGTAGGGTCCAGCCTCATGGTTCTTAACTTCTCAGGGCCGGCCAAGTCTCGGGATGGTGAACGTACTGTGTATTGCAATGTGCATAAGCATGAACCCCTTGTGCTGTTCTGTGAGAGCTGTGATACCCTCACCTGCCGGGACTGCCAGCTCAACGCCCACAAGGATCACCAGTGAGTCCCAGAGCACAGCGGGTGGGTGGATGCCACTTCTTGGGCTCAGCATTCAGGTAAACCTTCTTTGCTCTCAGGTACCAGTTTCTGGAGGATGCAGTGAGGAACCAGCGCAAGCTCCTGGCCTCATTGGTGAAGCGCCTTGGGGACAAACATGCCACATTGCAGAAGAGCACCAAGGAGGTTCGCAGCTCGTAAGTGTGGATGTGAGAGGTGTGGGGAACCCTGGGTAAGACACTTCCCAGCTTGACCTACCTTGTCCTCCAGGATCCGCCAGGTATCTGATGTGCAGAAGCGTGTGCAGGTGGATGTCAAGATGGCCATCCTGCAGATCATGAAGGAGCTTAACAAGCGTGGCCGAGTGCTGGTCAATGATGCCCAGGTAGACCTTGTGCAGGTGGAGGAGTACCTGGGTACCCACTGCTTTCCTTGCTGACCTTGTTCCCTTTTACCCACAGAAAGTGACTGAAGGGCAGCAGGAGCGTCTGGAGAGGCAGCACTGGACCATGACCAAGATCCAGAAGCATCAGGAGCATATCCTGCGCTTTGCCTCTTGGGCTTTGGAAAGTGACAACAACACAGCTCTGCTGCTTTCTAAGAAGCTGGTGTGTGGTGGTGGGCTACGGTTGGGTGGAGCTCTGCACTCTGGGGTTCTATTTGTTGTCCAGTGTTAATGTCCCACTTACTCGTCCCACCAGATCTATTTTCAGTTGCACCGAGCCCTCAAGATGATTGTGGATCCCGTGGAGCCACACGGTGAGATGAAGTTTCAGTGGGACCTCAACGCCTGGACCAAGAGTGCCGAGGCATTTGGTGGGTTCCAGTTTTTGCCCTTGTTCTACTTTGGTGCCACCCTAGAGACTGTACCTACTTAGCTTTTTCTTTTCTTCAGGCAAGATTGTGGCTGAGCGTCCTGGTAGCAATTCCACGGGCCCTGCGCCCATGGCTCCTCCAAGAGCTCCAGGGCCTCTGAGCAAGCAAGGCTCTGGTAGCGGCCAGGTGAGCAGGGGAGAGGACCCAGGGAGAGGCAGGGCATAGGGTCGAATTGAGACTGAGGTTCTCTTGCTCTGCTCTGTTTGCAGCCAATGGAGGTACAGGAAGGGTATGGCTTTGGGTCAGGTGAGTGCGTCTTTCTGGGGGCAGGGTGAGAGGACGTGATAATGCCCTGTGCCTACCCCACTTTGTCATCTTCATATTTGTGTTCTCAATAGATGATCCCTATTCAAGTGCAGAACCACATGTATCAGGCATGAAGCGGTGAGTGGCCGTCCTTAGTGGGGTGGGGTGAGGGATAGGGACTAGTGGATGCTTAAGCCAAGGTCTACTTATAGAGCCCGCTCAGGTGAGGGTGAGGTGAGCGGCCTCATGCGGAAGGTGCCACGGGTGAGCCTCGAACGCCTGGACCTGGACCTTACAGCTGATAGCCAGCCACCCGTCTTCAAGGTCTTTCCAGGCAGCACCACTGAGGACTACAACCTCATAGTTATTGAACGTGGTGCTGCTGCAGCGGCTGCTGGTCAGCCAGGGAGCATGCCTCCGGGAGCCCCTGGTGCACCGCCCCTGCCTGGCATGGCTATTGTTAAGGTGAGCTTGTCCCAAGGGACCACTGGAAGGTGGCATTTGGTCACCGGGGTCTGGCTGGCTTCTCTCTTGAACACCTTTCACTGCCTTGTAGGAGGAAGAGACGGAGGCTGCTATTGGAGCCCCTCCTGCTGCCACTGAGGGCCCTGAGACCAAGCCTGTACTGATGGCTCTGGCTGAGGGCTCTGGCACTGAAGGTCCCCGCTTGGCCTCACCTAGTGGCAGCACCAGCTCAGGCCTAGAGGTGGTGGCTCCAGAGGGTACTTCAGCCCCAGCTGGTGGCCCAGGTACCCTGGATGACAGTGCCACCATTTGCCGTGTATGCCAGAAGCCAGGTGACTTGGTCATGTGCAACCAGTGCGAGTTTTGCTTCCATCTGGACTGCCACCTGCCTGCCTTGCAGGATGTGCCAGGGTGTGTATGAGGCTGGGTGGGGTCTGGGTAAGGCATGATAACTGGGCAAGTTCCTGTGCATTCCCTCCTCTTTTTCACCCCAGGGAGGAGTGGAGTTGCTCCCTCTGCCATGTGCTCCCTGACCTGAAGGAGGAGGATGGCAGCCTTAGCCTGGATGGTGCCGACAACACTGGCGTGGTTGCTAAGCTCTCACCAGCCAACCAGAGGGTAAGGGCTGAGCTGCTGAGATACGGTTGGCATAGTGGGTTTGATCTATGTTCTGTATTATAGCTCTGACATCTATTGTAGAAATGTGAGCGTGTTCTCCTGGCACTATTCTGCCATGAACCCTGCCGCCCCCTGCACCAGCTGGCTACCGATTCTACTTTCTCTCTGGTATGTTGATTCCTAGGGTCTAAGAGTAGAGGTGGAGTATGCTGGATTTCCACTGTCAAAGGTCAGAAGTGTATGTTGTCTCTTGCCTGTAGGAGCAACCTGGTGGCACCCTGGACCTGACCTTGATTCGTGCTCGCCTCCAAGAGAAATTGTCACCCCCTTACAGCTCCCCCCAAGAGTTTGCCCAGGATGTGGGCCGCATGTTCAAGCAGTTCAACAAGTTGACAGAGGTGAGCCTGGTAGAATGAGGGCATGGGTGTGGGGGAAGTGGGAGGAGGAAGCCAGGGACTACCCACCCATTGTGCACCCTTGCCTGTCCCAGGACAAGGCGGATGTGCAGTCCATCATCGGCCTGCAGCGCTTCTTCGAGACGCGCATGAATGAGGCCTTCGGTGACACCAAGTTTTCTGCTGTGCTGGTGGAGCCCCCGCCGCTGAGCCTGCCCAGTGCTGGCCTAAGTTCCCAGGAGCTGTCTGGAGGCCCTGGTGATGGCCCCTGAAGCTGGGGCCCTTATGGCCTGGCCAGCCCAGCTCTGATCTGTCCTGTTACCCCATCCCTATCCCAACCCTGGTGGCCTAACTCCTACTCCTTGGTGGCCCCATCCCCAGTCCCTCACAAAAATGGTTTTTACTTCTATGGATTTAATAAAAACTTCACCAGTTCCTCAGGCCTTGGCTGGTTGGGGGCTATAGTCCTGGGGCTTCGTTTCTGCCTGCGTATACTCCTTACTTCCATCAAGCACTTGGCTCCCAGGGCCCTTTTTTTCAGAGGGCCTGAATTGGGTGTGGCGAAGAACATCCCTCAGGCTTTTCTTGGCATTGGAGGAAGAGGTCATATGTACAGGGTGGTGGATATACACTAGTGTCTGATAAGGGCTGCAGGCCCCGGGGCAGCTTACTAATGAGTACTTTTGAGCTTATAGCCATTGTCAAATTGGGGTTCCATAGCCAACCTGGTGTGTTGAGATTTCTAGTCTGTCCTATGACTCGCAAGCTACTCTTTGGGTGCATTCCAGTGGAGCCCACTGTGTAGTTGGCTAGGACTGTCTTTAAGTTCTCATCAAGCCACTTCCAGGTCAAACCTTGTTGGGTGTTAAAAACTGTTTAGGGAGTTTGCCATTGGGTCAGAGATAGCAGGGCCCCCAAATCTCTGAGTATGCCAGGTCAGCTGCTTGTCCAACCTAGTGCCAAACCCCAACCAGTATGGAATTTGGGTCCCAAGGACATAAGGCCTAACCCCATGTGAGGCTACTCACACAGGTTTGGGATTAAGTGTCCAATTTTATTACAGAGGGCATGGTAAAGACCCTGGGTGTCTGTTCCGGACATCCCCCTTGGCAGTGGGGTCATCAGTCTCTTCTTAGGTTCTTGAGTCTCTCTTCCAGATCTGCGTCTGCATCAGCCAGGGCTGAAGCTGTGGCCTCTGCCTTCTTCCCACCAGCAGCCACGCTCAGTGAGCCTCCAGTCGAGGGGAGATCTGAAAAGGGGAAAAGTTAGGGTTAGAGTAGGGAGAATGGCCAAGGGCTGTGGGTGGGAAATCTTGAGAGTTTGCAGCACTCACTTGACAGTTCATCCGTCAGGCTTAGTCCCAGCTCATCCAGGACCTGGGACACAACAGCATCACTAGGGAAGAGGAGGAACTTGTTCAGAACTATGCACAGGTTGAGGATCAGGAAAACATCCCCACCTTAACCACCCAGTTCCCCACACCTCTCCTCTTCATCCTCCTCGTCCCCCATGGCATCATCAATGGCATCATTCATCATCTCCTCCTTCATGTCCATGATCTCTGCCTGCCGCTCAAATTCCATCATGATCTTCTGGATCTGGGGCAATTTCAGCTGGAAGTAGGTAGGGTGACTTGGGTCAGTAGGGTCAGTGGGGGTGGGGTGGGGTGGAAAGAGAAATTGGGAAAGAAATACCTGTCTGTTCATGGTGCCCATGGCCTTGGTAACACCCTTCATGGCTTGTGCCATTGAGTTGTTGGACTTCAGTGTCTGTATCTTGAGGGACACAGCCTGGATATTGGCGCGCATCAACACAAACTTGCGTACATAGCGCCTGGTACGCACCAAGTCTTTTGCCATGATGCGCACAGCATCCTGCGGAATAGGGAAGTATCAAAGATGAGGTCATGAAATTATGTTTTAATATTGGGGTCTCCAAAGATCTTTATCTGGCTAATAGAAGGGTCTTTTTTCTGGCTAATAGAAGGGTCTTTTTTTTTTTAAGATTTTAATTTATCATTGTGAGATTTTCTTTTTTTTTTTAGAGAATTTTTAATATTTTTTAGTTTTCGGCGGACAACATCTTTGTATGTGGTGCTGAGGATCGAACCTGGGCTGCATGCATGGCAGGCGAGTGCGCTACCGCTTGAGCCACTTCCCCGGCCCCGAAGGGTCACTTTTTTAACCAGGGATTTAAACCTGGGGGCCTTTATCACTGAGGTACATCCCTAGCCCTCTTTAATTTTTTTTTTCTTAAAGCAGGGGATAGATATCGGGGATTGAACTGGGAGGGGGGCACTCGGGTATGGAGCCACATCTCTAGTCCTTTTTTGCATTTTATTTAGAGATAGGGTCTGAATTGCGTAGTGCTCACTTTTGCTGAGGCTGGCTTTGAACTCATGATCCAGTTGCCTCAGCCTCTTGAGCTGCTGGGGATTATAGGCATGCACTACCATGCCCAGCTTACCCTTTTATCATGTAAGGTCTTCCTGATCCCTAAATGTTGGAAGGCAGGCCCAGACTTCCTTTAATTCACTCTACACAAAGAATCTGCCTCATTGCGGGGGATGGAGCCCTCACAGAGTGCTTGCCTCTGTGAGGGGCAAAAATAACCTGCATAGCCAATTGTAGTGGTGCACAACTGCAATCCCAGCACTAAGGAGGCTGAGGCAGTAGGATTGCAAGTTTGAGGCCAACTGCAGCAATTCAACAAGACCCTGTCTCAAAGGACTGGGGATGTAGTAGCTCAGTGATCAAAGTGACCCTGGGTTTAATTCCCAGTGCACAACAAAACATCAAAAACTCTTTTGCCTCTTTCACTTAAAGCCTACAGCGAAGGCTGTGTCCTGAAATATACCAAGCCAAACACAGTGGTGCACATCTGTAATCCCATTGACTTGGAAGGTCAAAGCTGAAGGATCCCAAGTTTTGAGGCTAGCCTCAGCAAGTTAGCAAGAACCGGTCTCAAAACACCTCTAAGTTTGATTCCCAAGTACTACAAAACTAAGACTAAACATCTTCCTGACGCTTTACAGCTGCTCAGAAAGTCACCCCTTAAAGGCTCTGCTCCCTTCTTAGTGCTCTCCCTACTAGATGACTTCCTTTCTTTTGGCCAAATATTACTCTTGTGCTCCAACCCTTCATAGAGCTAATTCTGAGCAGTCTGGCCCCCAGTTTGCTAAGGCTCTCCAATGTCTGCTGGATGCACTCCCTTGCCAGATCTGAAGATTGTTCACACTTTGGCTGACAGCACTTCCATAGATAAGACTTCCAGATCCCCAAACTAAGGGAGCCCTCTTCATCCTTTACTCAGCATTCCTCAAAGGACTTGTTTTCTGGTGTCCTGTCTCGTCCACTGTCATCACAACAGTATCTGGTTGAGAGCTGGCACTTTGCCCCTGATCATTGGCACTTACCATCTGGCCCTGCTTGGCCATCTTTTTGATATCCGCAATGATTTTCTTCTCCTGGGTCTCTAGTTTCTGCCTCTCCCGGTCCAGCTCCCGCATGGCGCGGTTCAGGGCCCGCTGGTTCTGCCGCAGTAGCTCCTCTGGTGTCTTCCGGCGCCCAAACAACAGGTCCATGGTGGCTGGAGCCCGCTGGCAGGCCTGGGACAGATGTGAGGGGCAGCTATAGGGTGTTGTGCCCAGAAGGAGGGCAAGAGGCAGAACAGGCTCACATAGGGAGACTGGAGTGAGGACAGGAGGTGTGAACAAAGCCTCAGAGATAGGAGCTTTAGAATACCCCTCAGGGACAGTCAGAAAAGAAATTATCCATTATGCCACCCCAAGCCCCTTCACCTTTCCCAGCAATTTCAGGGTGTGGAAGTTTGGGCTCCCCTTTCAGACCCAGGGGTGTGGCCCTGAGACTGGAAATGGGTGAATGGGTATGCCGGGATAAGAAAGACCCTGAGCACAAAAAGAGGGCAGGATGGGTGAAAGCCCCGAACAAGGTGGATCTGGGGGCTCTGAGGGTGGACAATGGCACCAGGATTGGGGTTCCCCGACTGCTGAGGAAACTCCGGAGGGCAGTCGGAGGCACTGGCACCCTGTACACCGAGGGCTGGGTCTGGAACGTCGGGGGCCCCGTCGCAACGAGGGCAAGGCGGTGTGTGTATGTGGGGCCCAGATGATGAGGACTGGGTCCCAGGGAGGAGCCTGACCCTGGATACCTAAGCCTAGAGAAACCTTCGTACACCGCCACCCACCCGGGACCTGAGGCCCAGCAGGAGCCACTCACCGGAGCAGGCACAGGGAGTTGCTTCCGCTTCCGGGTCACGCGCCACTTGCTCAGATCCCTGGCGTACCCACTAACGAAGGCCTCTCGGTTCTGTCGTCTTCGCCGCCGCCGTTTCCGGATTAAACGACTTGACGTCACAGGCCCCACCCACACCCGGAATGCTGGGAAGTAGCTGGCGCGCACGCGCACTAAGATAGGCCTGCGCCCAAGCGCCTGCGCACCAGTTCCTGTGTCTTTGCCAAAGGTCCGAGGGCGTTCCCTGGGTCGGAGTCCCGCCCTAGTGAACCGAGCTAGGGCGCGGGTCGCGTCCGCAGCCGAGAAGTGCATCTCTGGGTGCCTTCAGTCTAGACATTCTGGAGGGCCCCCGTGCCACCGCCTAGGGCACAGTTCATCCGTGCAACCCTGACTTCTGCCTGAGGCCTCGGACAGCGCCAAACAGGAGCCCCCTCCGTGTCGCACATGGCAAAAAGGGGCAAAGCTGGAGATGCTACGCGCTGACAGGTGCCAGGAAGCCACAGATTAGAGGCCTGCCCTCCTCACCCCAGAGCAAGCGTCATCCCACCCAACCCAAGGCCATCCCAGGTACCAGCAGTGTTTGTAGGGTGACCAAATGCCACCCCACCTGCGACCATCCACTTTCCACTGCCCTCACCCCCTTCAGACCCCTGAAGGACCTTACCTGACCCTCCCATCCCACAGAAGGAAGAGGCAGAGGCCATGCAGTAACATTCCCCTTTAATAGCCTGGTGGGACCTCCGGTGGTGGAGAGGTGGGTTGCCTGGGCCCAGTTACCCAGGCCCCTTGCCCACCCACCCCACAGCCCAGAGTGGGGGGCTGGACAGCACCCAGCGGGGGGCTAGACAAGCCAATTCATTTCCCATCGCTGAGCAGGTCGGGGGGGAGACAGCGCCGACCATAATCACGTGATGGTTAAAAAAAAATAACTAGGGGCAGGTAGCAGAGAGGGGAGGCAAGGCCAAGGCAGAGGATTCCCCCCACCGGTTGCCCCCACCCCCCCACCCCGTGGCTCCCCAATAAATATTTGCAGGGAATGCCTGGGCTGGTGGCCCTGGCGGGGGCAGGTATATGCCAACCCTATTTCAGGCAGCGCTCGAAATAGGTGGAGCCGATGTAGCCACCTCTCATGGAGCGCTGCACATTCTGTTCAAACAGCCGCCGGTTGTTCTGCAGGACTTCCGCAGCCTCCTTGTTCAGTGGGTCTTCAGGGTTGGGCTCCTGTGACCAGTACAAGTGGGGGTCAACAGGCCAGAGAGGAAGAAAGCCAACCTCCCCAAGTCCCAAATGCCCACTCCTACTCACCAAGAAGAGATACTGCAGGCCATAAATTATGGAGTTTATCGTAAGGACTGGCTTCCAGTCCTCTCTGTGGGCAGAGAGCATCAGGGTCAGGCTGGTGAGTGGGAGGCCACTACAGGCTCTGGTGGTACTGAATAGGTCAGGGTCAGGGCATGCAGGAGTGAGGATTTGAGAAACTAGGGAGGCAGGGAGCAGGACAGGCCATGGAAAAAAGTCGGGTTGGGCCATTAGGAAGATGACTTGGAGATAACAGGACAGAGGGATGCAGGCCATAAGGGGGAGAGAAGGGATGGAGAGTGATGCAGTTAGCTATAAGGGGGACTGGCAGGTAGGGCTGGGGAAGGAAGTGGAGGGCCAGTGCCCTTACCTGAGGATGTTGAGGCAGACGTTGCCCTCGAGGTCAATATTGGGGTGATAAACCATTGTCTCACACTTCACCTTGGGGGGATCATGTGGGTAACCCTGGCCCACCTGGCTCCAGGAAAAGAAAAAGGAGGTGGGTAGGTGCCTGACAGGGCCTCAGATGCTGCCTCCTCAGTCCATGGAGCTACCTCTGCCCATTTGGGACTCACCTTAAAACTGAACACAAACTTCCCACTCTTGTAGAAGCCCTGGGAGGGAAGAGAGAAGGTGGTAGGGCCCCATCCTGCAGAGCCAAAGTATCCCTTCTCTTGCTCTGTTCTTGGGAGTCTGGCCAGTACAAGTTGGGCCACACTTACCTCATCAGGACAGATAACCAGCTTGAAGTTGAGGAGGTCGTCCGGGTCTGAGAAGCTGATGTCACAGGTTTTGGGCAGGTTCAGCTCGTTTATGTCTGCATTTGGGCAGCAGAGAAAGAGGCCAGAGAGGGAGGAAGAGGCTCATGAGAGAAAGGAGGGAGCTCTGCACAGGTGTCAGAAAGTCCTGATGGATTCATCACAGACTCTATGGACTCTGTCTTGCGCTATGTTTCCACACCTCACCTCTAACCCATTCTGTATTCTCTGCTTTCTCTGTTCCAGTCTCTAGCTGGGCTCTTCTGGATACACAGCACACGGAAAACATGCATCTTTAATTGTCCCACCATCTGGGCCAAGGTGAACACTAATTCTACTAAATTCACAGCCCTAAATACCCCCAAACTCAGTTCCCCAAGTGACTCCACTCTCATGTGGCCCCCATTCTAAAAGTCCTGGCATCTAACAGCCTCTGAACATCCTAACCCCAGGCTCCCCAGTCATGACTTCCACTCTTCACAGTGTTTATTCATCCATCCAAACTCAACGACCTTGACTCACCATACCCTAAATCGTCCCCTCTGTATCAAAACACTCCTCCTCCTCATCTCAAACCCAGGTTCCCGTCTGACCCTCACACTTTCAAGTGCTCACCTTCCCACTCCTTGTGACTCTTGAGATTCCCAGCATGATAGCCTAAATTTCCCCTCTTCAGCCTCTGACACCCACTATCCCTTCCAGCTCCACAAACTCCAAACTGCTGTCTAACCCCCAAACCCATGAGTCTGGGGCCCTTTTCTGACTCAGATTCCCAGCGATCCCAGCATCATATACTAAACTGTCTCTTACTCATTTCCCCAATTCTCGGTGCTCGCTATCCCTCTGGACCTTCACCCCAAAGCCAAGTTCTGGTCTGACCTCCAGACTCTCGAGCCCCCGCACCCCCACCTTATACTCAGATTCAAGGGCCCTAATACCAGACGTCAGGCCTTCAGAATACCCCAAGCCCCCGCTACCGGGTCTCTTATGTGACCCTCCCTAGTGGCCGCCTTACCCTAACCCCGCTTTCGGCATTACAGTCCTCAAGTTCTGACCTCCGACACGCCACATCCGCGGCCCACCATCCCTGACCCTCGGTGACCACATTTCCCCATTCCTGACTCCCTCATTGCCCTCCCCTGGGCCCTGTCCTCCGACCCCCCCCCCCCCCCGGCCCCAACCCCCATCCCCCGACCAATACCCTTCTGGATTCGCAGCTGCGCCGCCGACGCCTTCTTGCTGCTGCCCTTGGTGCCGCCGGCCGACTCCTCCTCCTTCTTCTGCTGCTTCAGCGAGAACAGCTTGATCATCCTGCCGCCGCCGCCGCTGCCGCCGCCGCTGCGGGGCCCGGGACCCCGGCCACCCGGCCCCCCGCTGCCGTCCGCGCCTCTTCCGCTCCTTGGACCCGCTGCCGCGGCCTCCTCCGCTGCTGCCGCCGCCCGCCCGGCCTGCCGCGCTGCTCCGCGCCCACCGCGCGGCCCGCCTCGGCTCCCGTAGTCCGGCTCTGGCCTGGCCCAGCGCCTCGGTCTCGCTCGGCGGCGTTCGGGCAGATTCGGCTATTCTCGGGCCCGATCGGCCCCGCCCCACCTTCTCCCGGCCGCTCCCTCCTCCCCCTCGCCCGCTCAGGTCTTCCGAGGCCCAGCTAAGGCTGCAGATGCCGGGCTTCCTGGTCCCCGCGGGTCAGAGCTCACTCGCTCCCTCTGCAAAGGGTTGAGGCTCGGGGTGGAACGAGAAAGCGGCAGCCACGGTGGTGGTAGCCGTGTACCGGTGGAGGCTCGGCTTCCGCGGTAGCAGAGGCTTTGGCGCAGAGATTGGAAACTGCCTCTGGCGCCTCACGGCTTCGGATGTTTCCGCCGCCTGCCCGCTTCGGCTCTTCTTGCCGGGCCTGCGCTGTGCGCCTGCGCAGCTCCGCAGCCCTCGTTGCTCAGCGATGGGGTTTGGGGTTCGGGCTTTTCCGGCTGGGCTCGGGTATTTCCGTTTGTGCAGGTGACGATTAAGCGGTCCCGGGCTCACTTCCGGGGACCCTCGCCGGGCGGTACAGGAAGTGATGCTTGTAGCCAACTTTGAGTGGGGCAGGTGCTTTCCCCTGGCTCTTCGTGAGTTCATTTAATGTTGCATTCAAGTGGAGCGCAATTGTGGTGGGTCAGATTAGATCCTTGCCCCCAAAAGGTCACAGACAAAGGTAGAACATGGGCGAGGACAGGATTGTTGCTCAGAGGTTGCAGGGTCGAGCCCCCTCAGTGTCCTAAGGCAAATCCAAAGGTCTCCTCATGGAAATTCGATTGAGGTAAATTAACAGAAAATTCGTATTGTTCGGAGGCTGAAGCAGGAGGATCTCTTGAGCCCTGTCTCTTAAAGACAAACATTGTGCCACAAAGTGGTGGTTACTGTGTAGGTTTACAGGCCAGAGTGGCCCTTGGGGGATGGGGCACTCTTCGCTCGCCGGGACCCGCCAAAGGGCACCGCCTCCTTGGTGCCTCCCCACCGCTTTCGGGGTTCCGCAGGCGTGGTTATCTCTGACCCAATCACAGCTCAGCCCGCCAGGAGGGCGGGAGGAAACGGTGCGCCCAGTCAGGGACTTCCGGCCGTCACCAAGGAAACCGGGGGCGGCGCCGCGTGGGGGATGTCAGGCTAGTGTACTGCTTGACCCTCTGCCAAAGGGCAGCAGCACTAGCCTGCCAGACTGGCCCGCAGCCCTCACCTCGGCGGATTCGCTCCTCCAGCCTACTAGTTGACCCGGTCATTAAACCCCGGCATCCTCTTTTGCCTTTCCCTTGAGAGCTGAGTCTTGGAAAGGATTGGGGGGGCAAGGATGGACTCTCAGACAGCTTGGGTGTGGTGCCAGCAGGACTTCCATTGTCCATCTCAGTTTCCTCAGGCTTCTCGTGGCTAGTTCTGGGACTCACAAGGCCCCTCCAGACTCTCCCTATCCTTTTCCCACGCCTCCCCTCTTCCTCCCCTATCCTTCCCCCACCCCCCCACCCCCTCTCTCTCTCTCCTGCTCTTCTTTCATACTCACCATTCTTAGCCACACCGCTCTGTGGCTGATTGTTTTCATAGAGATCATTTCCTCAAGAGAGTTGATGACTGTTTAAGTACAGTCTCTGGGTGGTTCTTACTGGCCAGCCTGGTTCATGTGTCCATCCTCCAGTTAGTTGCTGAAGCCCATCTACTGATGCTCCACCTAGGAATGGGGTATTGGTCCCCCAGAGAGTTGATGCTGAATTAGCCAAAGCTGGACTTGTATGGTCTGTGACCTCACATGTCACCATCCAGTGAAGGACCATCAGTCCTGCAACAACATGGGAAGAATTGGGTCCTGGAGTGCAGACTAGGGAGAAGGGGATGGTTGAACTGAAGTCAGGAGCTGGGCTGTGTGTGCAACTGTGGGTGTTTACTGTAGCTTCTGGGAGGTTGGAAGACAGGTTTGTTTTGGAGAAGAAGGGGCAGGAGTAGGCAGGGAAGGGAGGCTGTAGGTTGCTAG